CCTCGCTATGACCGAGCTCGACAACAAGGAATCGAGGTCGTCATGCCACACCCTACCGAAAGGACGAACCACATTATGAACGTCATGAATTACGAGGAACGGTACCGACCACAAATCTGGCGGATGGTAGAAAACCTTCGTCAATTCCTCGTCCGATCCGGATACCAGGCGCTGTTCGAACAACATCAGTGGCGGTCCGACTTCAACATGAACGCGCACACAGCGCCGAATGTTGAACACCCGTACACCAGATCGAATGCGTTGCCGTCGATGACCGACCCGGTCTTGCTCAATATACCATTGTACAGCCCGGACGGAACACGTGCGAGCCAACTAGGAGCTCGGGAATACTCCCATGACGAGTTGGAGAGTGTTGCCCAGTTCGTCATCACGGACGCACACCCAGCCTTTGTAATCACCGCGGCTCGGGCAGCACTGGATTTAACCCAGTACCTTCCGGAAGGAGAAGTCGACATGGCCCAGGACGGAGCCACGGCATTCCTGCGATTCATCTTCGCAGCTCGACTCGGCAATTACTTTTGCCATTACACCCTGTACGGACTGTACCACAATGAAGCGATACCAGCAGCTGTGGAAACCCTCGTAGCCCAACTCGGCACACCAATGAGAAGTGTTATCCTAGCTGTCTGGATGCGTGACTTGCTGTACACCCACGAACGGTATGCGACAAAGTATGCCTTTCGTGAGGATCACGTAGATCCCAGCGACGATGCAACCCGATTCATCAGCTGGTACCGCGAAAAGAAAACTTTGCCTAGCGGATTCAACTCGTCGCCCTACGAACCTTGGATGTCGGATGACATAGCACCCGGCGCACGACCGTTCGCGCTGCGGCTCCGCAAACAAGCGGCCAAGGAATCGAGGAAGAGCAGAGCGGAGCGCCCAGGCCAGGAAACAGATGAGACCGACGAGATGTCTCAACGGAGCGGCCCGGCGACTTGTAAACCTAGGGACCCGAACATACGGCCACATAACCGACCTGGCCCGGACGATGATGAAGAAGAAGATTACTTCGGCGGCGACAAACCCGTCGAAGTCCCACTCAGTTAAGATCGAGTTCCCACATTGGAACTCGATCCCCCATTGGAATAACTTCAAGGAGGCATTGCCGAGAAACGGCACGGTCGAGAACCGACCTTCCGACTGAGAAACAGTCTAGCTGAGAAACAGCGCCGTCGAGAACCGACTTCGGAATGGACACTATACTTCAGTTCTTTTTTTGGAAAATGACCAACCATGTACGCGGCGGACGTCAACGACGATTTTGCCAGAAAAGCCGACTGCACAAGTCGGCCGGATTCTTTGGTCGGACCCGGAAACGCGTGGTTAGACCCGGGTATTTCGGCTCTTTCACCGTACCGGTACGTCCCCCAAGGAATCCCCTGGAACGAACTGGGCAATCGACCCCAGTTCACCAGCTTGGCAAAGACAGATCGTAACCACATCTGCTAACAAAGCAGATCGTCAACCACGTTCTGCGACCATCGGAGCCAACAGAAGCCCCAATCCGCGTTACATGGAGATCGATACTCCGGCCAACCGACTCCGGAGAAGAAACCGAGAGGATTACGCTAACATGGCGCGAAACACGTGACTGCGCGCGTTTCACGCCATGTTTGCCAAGCACCCGTGGCCACCTTCGGAACCGGGTAGCCGAGCAGCCTTCACCATTGTAAACAGTGGAAATCCCTCGGCCGAGCCGCCAACAGTGCAGGAAGACTCGGATTTGACTAGGTACGGGAGCCGACCACAAAGGTCGACTTCGTACTTTGCCCATAACTGGGAGACATAATGGATACCGCTGCGCAAGTCGACCACAAAGGTCGGTTGTGCAAGCCGATCACAAAGATCGGTTTTGAAAACTGTTCGACCTGTAACGACGCAGATCGTTAGAACCACGACTCGCTACCTTTAGACGATCACACAGATCGACGGAGTATTTGGTAGCCGACCAACAAGAAGTCGACCATGGACGGAAGCTGGCAGTAGCAACGTGGTAACTTAACCGGATTCTCCGTTTGAATCCAGACCTACAGGCTCTGTACCTGGAGATCAACCGCAGTCTCCCCCGGACGACATCGGGTAAACCAGCCGATTCACCGGTGACCACGACTACGCGCGTCTTCGAACGTGCTGCCATTCCCTGAAGAGGAACAGCGACGGTGATTTGGATACTGGTGTACCAACGACTCCGCCGCGACCTGCTTCCCCATGTCTCCAATGGAACATCCTAGGCAGACCGTGTTAGAATACGCGATCTGCACCCTCTTAATGAACCCCGCTGACAAGGATCATGCGGCCGCAACAAAAGTGGCAGCATGGCCTTTGTCAGCGGCAAAGAAAATTTCCCCGTGGACATGGGTCGTCTACCCCCAACAGAAGCGGCTAGGCGTCACAGGTTCGCGACAAAACAGAATGGAAAATCGGATCTGACGACCTCAGGGACTTGCATGTGCATGAAGTTTAAACCAAAGAGCTCGGCTCGGCAACCGGGGCCACAAAGACCCTTAGCGTTGTGAGCGAGCGCAGTGCATGATGAAACGCCAGTCAATCGGCCAACAGATGCCGGAGGAAAACCTTACCTCGCAGGACTGGGCGACCCAGAAGCAAGCAATTCGGATTGACCGACCTCAACAGTAGCTCGGATCCGACCTGGAGTTCACGTCAGAGATCACAGAAGGAACGGAGTTGTGCTGCCGAACATCCCTCTGCCAGTCCGAACTGACCGAAGGATGTCCTGACACTACGGACCCGGCCAACTGTAGCCGAACGCACAGAACTCCTAAAATGAAGTCGACAACCACCAGATGGAGGTCGGAAGTAAGCGACAACAGCTCGGAAAACCAACCAGAAGTACGAAATCGACCTCTCAGTGGAAGAACTTACATTCCCGGCGGATAGACACAAAGTTTATCCGACCTTGGGAAGTCGGAAAATAGCCGACCTCCGAACTCGGACATGGATATCCGACCTCAAGCCGAGGTCGGAAGTGACCGTACACAAGTCGGTAGGGTACGACAACAAGTCGGCAAAGACATTCAGAAGTCGAGAACCGACCTCCTAACGGAAAAATCCGACCTTCGGACGGATGGAAACATAGTTCATCCGACCTTCCGAAGTCGACTATAACCGACCACATGTCGGAAGTCGGCAACTCAGTCAACATGACGGAAGAAGAACGACAGATATCTGCGGTGGACGAATTCGACTTGAAGGAACTTGTTTAGCCCCACATGGGCATGTTATTGCAGGTTAACCCTAGTCGACCACTGACGGATAGGATAACCGACCTCGACAGAAGGTCGGATAACAACGGAACAGATTGGATGGAAGTCGACTGGACACTTCCATCGATGAAACTCATGAATTCCGACCGGACCTTCGAGCCAGTTCGACTCGGATTACTACAAACCAGGCTCGTGGTAGCAGATTGAACGGTTGTAACCGACCACTTTTGAACGGAACTGCTGTACATGACGACCACACAGGCCGCATGACTCACTTACAGCTTTTCTCCGACCTGGACTTTAGCAATTCGGAACATAGCCGAATTCCCTTAGCCGCCGGTCGACTTACCGGTAGGCCGACCTTGGTCAAACCGACCTCGGTTCTATTCCCCATTCAGAGAGGATGCCTCGGCATTTGCAACCGCAACAGTGCCTCTCTATCCCGAACGGACGGATACGAGTCGGAAGTAAGTGTTTAACCGTGCTTATCCGACCTCGGTGAATTTAACCGGTTACGACGGGTAACCCGGGAACCGATGCCCCGGACCCAACTTACCGGATGAAAGTGGACAGGAGACCCCGTGGAGACTCAACTGCCCCGTGGACGTCATCCTAGTCGGAATAGGACCCCCGGACAGATTTTTGCAATTTTTTTTATTATTAGCATTTCTCCTAACAAACGGAATTGTATTTTACTAGTTCGATCTCTTTCAGATCTGTTTTGTAACCCCTTTGCTCACTGGAATTGCGATTAAACTTTATTTCATACTTTCTTTCGCGCTGCATACAACTTTCATTACATTTTTCTTTCACATTGTTCTCCGTTGCCAACAGAAGCAAGAAGCCAGCCAACAGAAGCAACACCGGTCCAACGAAACGCCCGAGCGGCTTCCGGATTTTTCGGCCGTGAGTGGCTTCCACTCATGGGTTCGGAAGTGAAGAAGGGACGGTCGACCAGACACCGGACTCCCACTGCCAGAGGACGCGTACCAGCGACCCCACATTGGGTCCGACTGGAGAGTTGTGCGGTACTGGTGCGGTACCGAGTCGGAGCATCCTTCGCAGGAGCTCGGATTCCCGCCCAGAGGCATGTCAGAGGCACATGACTGCGCCTGGTGCATACGGCCCACCATGGACGTACTGCACTCATGCTTGCCATACCGCCTCTCTCGCTGTACGTACGTGTGCTGCTGCACTGCACTCATACCCGCTGAAGCGGATATATGCGGCGCACACACTGAGCATACTTGCTCTCTCGTCCCTCTCTCGCTGTATGACTCAGCGTACGCTCGCGTTGGATTGAGTCCAGTCTGCGCATCATCACACAGCTGATGGCACACAGCACGTGCTTGCCGCCAGTTGCTTCTTTCACGCCTTGACGAACGCTCAAGAGCTCTTCTAGCATTGACTTGCTTGTTTGGCCATCAGTGCTTTGTTTTGCTTTCCCTGCTATTACGCAGCATTGTTCCTTTATTTGTACAATAAAGCACACTCGTGATCTCCTCGCGCTTGCCTGTTACAGATCCCAGCTGGAAACAAGGATCAGGAGATTTAAGTCGCACGCTATTCATCCACTGCCAAGTGCTAGCTGACAGTACAAAATATGAGCTGTGTAATCGTGACTCGTAAGTAGCTGTAGAAAGCCGTGGTTGACGATGCCGTCGATGCGGAATAACAGTTGGCGTGCATGCCATGTGCACTCTGCAGTTGTCAGTCATATTCCACACCAGGGCACACTGGGAGGAGCCAAGAAATGCAAGCCGGCAAGGACAGTATAACTATATAACGGGTACCTGTTATATACTGTCCTTGTGTGATTCCATTGATCGCCAACACTACTCCGTCTGTCCCGGCGTGTACATACACACTCACAGAACTGTCAGAGGTACACTCTAGTTATAATAATTATACATACACCATTAAATATTATTATTATATACATACAGTTCCTATCTGCCGTGTGCCTTACGCTGCACAGTATATTTTAATTAGTAAGCATACTGTACGAGTATGCATGTACAGAGTATGTACAATACACCGTTGTCTTTCAAAATGAAATTTTGATCACCGATAAGTATACTGTATAATTGATGATATTAGGGGACTTCCATGTCGTATTATTTACAGCGAAATACTAAAATTGATATGCACCTTTCCTGTCTTCGCTCCACCTGCTGGTGTGCTCACATCACTGACCACTTTCTCCATAGCATTGTATCGGAGCACCAACCTATTTATTTAATTTTCCGCAGCGTTTTTCCATTCCCATTCCCACAATAAAATACCATTCCATATATAAGGTACCATCCCAGTTGCCAATTCTCACCAATCGTCAATGACGATTACGAGTCTCCAGCTGAGATGTCTCACAATTACAGTACGCACTGTACGCAGTATGAGTAGATTAGAAAGATTTTCTCGTGGATAGAAGATAGGGTAATAACTGCATAAATTCATGATAACTGAAAAAATAATTGAGCCTGTTACCTGGTATTGGGAATCGGGAATTGGTATTGGGAAGAAAACTGGGAACAGCTTTGGGGGATTGTACGGTATATATGGGAATGATATTTTATTGTGGGGCGATTCGTCATACAGATAATTATGATATTACTATAGTCGTGCTTCGAAACGTGTGAATGAGCTTGTACTTTAGCCGTTGACCTTTCATATTTTTAATCCGCCGCGCAAAAACACGGACATCTTCAGTTATCCTGTCCATTTCCGGCTTCAAAGCATTAGAAACGGTTGGAATAAATTTCATGTGAACAATTACATAGCTTTAGGTACCGACGTATCTGTAAGAAAACACATGATTGGAGTAACTGTTCAAAGTAACGATTGAAATATGGAAGAATTAAAATTTAAAGGCAGAAAAATTTGTTTTAATTCACTGTTGTGTACTACTGACATTTGTTTTGATTGTTCTTTTTATAACAGAAACACAGCTGAATCCTATATTTTTTATTTTTTGAATCAGTTACTGTATTTATTTCTATTTCATTTCAAAACTGTTTTCAGAATTAAACTAAACTTGGACAATTCGAGACGGTTGGAAATGCGATTTAATACGATGTGAGCGGCAGCATGACCGGATGCACGTACAGTATCTGTACGTAGGTGCGACATAAAAATAGAGAAATACTGCACATAGAACGATTCTTTGTTTAATTTACGGCGGAATTCGAGTACAAACCATAACAGCCGAGGGGCAGCCGCGGCGCGCAGAGCAGGATAAAGTGGCGAAGTATCGGGAACTCACCCGAGATTACTTGTTCCGTGCATTTGGCGTTGAAACACTCGGACCACTCGGACCGGACGCCTCTCGTTTGGTCACCGAAGTCGGGAAGATGATACAACAGAAAACAGGCTAGGTACGGGCGACGGAATATCTGCGCCAACGGATCAGCATTGACATCCAACGCGGGAACACGGCCTCTGTCATGGGAACAGCACCAGCATCGGCCAACTTAGACGAAATGTTCTGTGTGATTAGGCCGCCTATTTCCGTAGTTGGCTGAGGCTGTGTATTCGGTACAAATCTTTTACTTTTATAGGAAACTTGTGACTGTATTGTATCGCTAAATTGATATACCGTAAAACCCGATATTAACGCCCTGGGCTTTTATTTTTTCGAGAGCTTCGGGAGGGGCGCTTAAAATCGCAGGAGGCGTTTATTACGGGGGGCGTCTAATATTTCAAATGAATAACGCGCCCCTGTCATTTAAGCTTTAACGAGACTAGTATGTATGAACATTAATGGAATAATTCAGTAAATAAGAAATCTGTTAGAAAATCATAGTTAGATGGGAATGCATAGGTTGAATTTAACTAAATTAGCAAGAGGTACCATTCAGACTGCACCGACAACAGACTAAAAAAGCGCGGGTTCGCAATTTTTTAGTCTCCCCGGGGCGATAATTTCGGGGGGGCTTTTATTATTTCGAAAGCTTCGGGAGGGGGCGTTTAAAACCGCACGGGGCGTTAATTTCGGGGGGGGGGCGTTAATATCGGGTTTTACGGTAAACAGTAATACACCAAAAGGTCAGTCAGTACGATACTAGTTAGCATATTACGCTATAACTTGGCCAATTCTAGGCCAATGTCAAAACGACGGCGGAATTTGCTGCCGGCGGAAATTTTGTGAGGTCAAAACGACTGCGGAATTTTTTGCCTGCGGAAATTTTGTGAGGTCAAAACGACGGCGGAATTTTTCGTGGTCAAAATGCCGGCGGAATTTTCGTTACTTTTTAATTTCGTTTACTGTGTATATTTAAAAACGATTTGGAAAAAAAATGTAACTTACATAGACTCGGGCACTCCATTATTAATATGCCTCTTTATTGGGTCGCATGTATGAACTGTCTGTAAGTGCGTTGTGGCGTTGGCAGTTTGCACAGCACGCGCGGATGAGTTCAAGAGAATACCTGAGCCGCGCAAAAGAGGCAAACAAGGTATCTGACAAATTGTCAGATACCTTGTTTGCCTCTTTTGCGCACTGCGGCGATGACGCTGAGGTGTGATCTAATCTGATCCGTTTGGAGCCTTGTCTGGGAAGACTCATAACTTCTCTGAATGTAGCTAACTCAAACGAAGAATCTCTACGCGCAGATACACACAGAAACAGTGTGCTTGGGCTAATTTTAAGAAAGCCTTTTGCTGTGATGTTCTTGCCGTGTCCCACATGATGCTGAGAATGCCTGAGTTTTTCGAAAATTTCCGCTGCATTGTTCTTCCTTTTTCAGTACTCACAGGACCGACATCCACAGGAAGAGGCAACAAAGTGGGTGCAAAACGAAAAGCCTGGATGAATTAGTTTACTAATTAAGTTGGTTTTGTATAAAATGAAACGTTTATGAAATAAAATTCTCATTCTTTTCAATCTGTAATGTATACGCGTTTTGTATCAATCCGTGGTTTCTGTAAAAAAATGCATGTTCAGGAAATTCCGCCGGCGTTTTGACCACGAGAATTTCCGCCGTCGTTTTGACCACACAAAATTTCCGCCGGCAAGAAATTCCGCAGTCTTTTTGACCTCACAAAATTTCCGCCAGCAGAAAATTCCGCCGTCGTTTTGACATTGGCCGTAATTGGACACCTGGCGGCGGCGATACGATACTTGGAGCGCAACACTAGAGGGCAGGCGACGATGCCTACCCGATGTACAGTACATGTTGCGGACAGTTTCCAGCTATTCCAGCTATTGACCCACTTAAAAAACAACATTTACAGACGTAGTTGGGAACTTAACCTTCAATTACGGTACTGTAGCTGTTTAAAACTGGACGCGGAACGTAAGCGTCAGAGTTTTTCTTTAGAGAAAAAGCTCGAAAATCATTCTTGAAGAAGTCATTTCATATTCCAAAGCATACACGGCGCCGCCTCCGATTGCTACACACTAATATATAATTCACCCCTGGGGGTGGGCGTTAATTAGCCCCTGGGGCAGTGCCCCTACCTAACGTACACCCCTTTATAACGTTCATGGAGCTAGGAACGGAGGGCGTACGTAGTAGAGAAGTTTCACTGTATATTGGAATATTAATTATTTTATTGAAAGTAATTGCGAATAAAATTGCAGTTGATGAATTTCGTGTCCGTTGCATTTGTCATTGCCTTCATTTGACTGCCGAAATCGCTCTGGAAAAGCAGAAATCCTTGATTCAGAAGGTCAAGCAAATTTGAACATACTTCAAAAGTCCGAAAGCCAACGGGAGTTCCTGAAGTTTATTAATGCTGCCAACATGAAATTTCCTTCTGATGTTCCAACTCGGTGGTACAGCACAAAGGGTATGCTTCAAGGTATTTAATGCAAATATTACTTCTGTATAACACTGCAATTTCTGAATGTCGTTGTCTATTATTTGTATTTCTCTGATATTAAGGGCATACAAAAAGCGCGAAAAGCTGGTGCAATTTGTGGCGTCCCAGAAAGGAGCTGTTCGAAACAACGTTATCACTACCGATGAATGGACAACCATTAAGCACATCCTGGATTCCCTGCAGCCGTTCGAAGATGCCACTACTGAGTGTTCCGGGAATTTTTATCCAACAATCGACCTGAGCGTTTAAGCGGTTGCGCATATAAAAACTAATTAGGGAGCGCTTTGTATGGATTTTACTAAGGTAATTACCTTTGTAAAATCCATACAAAGCGCTCCCTGTTACATTTAAAGAGAAAAAATCTCTCTTTAAATGCAGACATTGAAATGATTAAATATTGCCATGTAAAATATTACCAATAATTGATGTTATAAATGTAAATCAATAATCATAAAAATCAATAATAATAATAACTCATAATAACCGTGTCATTATCTTCTCAGTCATGTTTGTTTTGAGGTTTGCTTGCAGCCGCTGTGGGTGAGGACAATTGGAAAATACATGAAGGAAAAATGGGAAACCATTGCGGCATCAGACTGGTCGCAAAGCATGTTGCTTGTAGGCACTCTACTTGATCCTGGTCTGAAACAGTCTGGAATTCCTGAGAAACTGCGCGAGACCGCAGTGGATGCCCTTTGAAAGTTGTATGACGATGAAACCAATTCCAGTGAGCACACGGATTGTGCAGGCTACAGGAATTCCTGTTAATGCGTAAAAATTAAGTGCGCGAACCCGCATGATTCAGCAGTGTTTGGGTAACTCGACGGCACGAAATGAAGTGGACGATTATCTCAAACTGCCACCGGTAAATTCAGCCGTGTTAGATTTTTTAAAGAGGAATAAAAAAGTGTATCCTGTTTTGAGTAAAATTGCTCGTGACTTTCTTGCTGTGCAAGGTTCTTCGGTGCAGTCGGAACGAGAGTTTTCAAAGTCTGGAAATGTAATTACGGATGTTAGAAACCGATTAGGGGCACGAGCTGCAAGTGCTAGTTTATGTCTCAAGAGTTGGTATAAGGTTTTTGATTCGTTGGCTGTAATCAAACTGTGAGGATAAAATCAGCTACTTGTCAAAAACTACTTTTTCACAAACTACTCTGCCTACCTAATACTCGCTGTTTCGTTGACTGTAGTAACGTAGTGCGGTATACTGAGCAGCAGTTTATATTGTTAAAATTGTCATTAATTATTATACGGTAAATGGCTTTAAGGATTTTAGCCGGCCGTCAGCCTAAAGGTCAGCCGTTTAGCCGGCTGCCATTTCTAGCCTGGCGTAATTATTAATCAGTTCTCAGTACCGCGGCTATATCATCAGCATGCGTCTAGTTGTATATGTCCTCTTATTCCTGGTCACCAAAAATATGAGAGCTATTAGGCTATTGTGTCTTGTAGAACAAAAGTAATACCACTATTAAGCATACTCTCGTTGTTTGAAAACCATCGCAGTACACAAAAGCAAAAGATCCCCAATACGGACCGGTAATGGGCGAGAGATTTTTCGTTTCTCACCGCTAATAACGCGGTATCGAATTTTCATGTCAATCTTCCAGAAAATTACCTTTGCAAACGTAAGGCAATTTTATTAACAGCAAACAACACTATCCGCAAAGAATTCGCAAACAACCACACAGGAACAATATCGCCAACCCCATACGATCAAAGGCAATCAAGAAAAACAAAAGAGACGACCATAAAGATGGGTATCACTAACCATTATCAATGAAGTAATTAAAAGCCATCATGCTTTCGCATGCCGCAGACAAGTTATGCTAAAAAGAACAAGCAAGTAGTGTTACAAATACAAAACATGAATTGGATGAATAGCAATAAAAATGAATCAATATGGAAAAAAGACGAATCGTCCGCTGTTTCGGTTCTACAGGCTGATCAAATATCGGACAGCCCGATCGACTGAGTTTTCCCGCGGTTTCGCCGGTGCGCGGGACTCTGCAAGTGCGCGGGACTTTGCCGGTGCGCGGCCCTTCCGTCCGCCTGCTGTGACCGGCACGGAGCTGTCTTCGCCGGGCGGACGACCCACCTCCTTGCCGCTTAAGTGCAAGGGCTCCGTGGCAACACCGCCCAGTACAGGCCTGGATGTAAGGGGCCGTACGGCGCCGAAAGGATTACCATAAACTTTCCGGTACGAGCCAGCGGGCAGCCTGTCCATCCCAGCCGCAGCCGGCTCAGTGACGACTCCTGTCACATCGAACTGTGCGTGCCGACATTCTGACCACTAAAAAAAACAGTCAAAATTCGGCCGCGTTCAACAGATGAGGCTCTGCAAATCACCTCGCGGACTGAATACGGCGAACTACCGATGCCCGTACTGTCTGCCGTTTCGGCGGCAGATCGGGCGGCGATACTTCCAGCGCCGCATCGACAGACTCCACGGTCGCATCCGCAAACGGGGTCGCATCGCACGCCACCGCAGTTGCACCAGCACTGGCTAGTCGGGAATACCTGTGGCCTGACCACCGTTTTGTGCGCTCTCCCACGCTTTGTCGGGACCCCGTCAGCGGCAGCATCGGGGTTCTAACACCAAGGGGGTTAACATCGCGCAGTGGCCGCGCTCCATCAAGGACACTGCAGGTGCTGGCCTGTTGCGGTCGGACGATAGTCTGTCGCGCCGTCGCGCGCTTCGCTATGACCTCATGGACGACGGCATGGTCCACACCTACAAGATGAAAGCATTTCAAGTTAATTGCTGCAGTGCAGTGCATCTACACCTACCGTGCAGTATTTCCTGTTGTGCATCGGCTTCCGCGCCTCCGACATTTTCTGCAGGTGGTCCCTGCGAGCGTGTTTGGTATCGGGCACGTCGCCGACCGGCCGCTAGTTTTACGCGGAGTGCCATCCGGGTTAAAATCCACCAAATGGCGCTCTTTCAGCCACGCGGAGGTGGCCTCGATTAAGAGTGTCTGGCCCTTCGCCGTATAATGGTCAAACCAGGTGTGGTGGTAGCACTGTAGATACGGCAGTTGGACCACGCCGCGCTTGCGACCCTTATCGTAGTCGTCCCACTGCAGCAGTCGCCCCCAGTGTGTAGGCTTTTGGTTCCTGACGGGGACGTTGGTGTCTGCTAAGACACGATACAGCGGCAGACGCTTCGGCAACCGACAGCAGAGGTAGTCTATCCGCTCTGTCGGATAACTCCGCCATCGTACGCAGCCAACATGCGGTGTCCCCGTGTATCGGCCTAGCAGGTGTTTAACGCAGCCCTCGAACGTCCAGGATCTGTCTAGGCGCAGACAATAGGGACAGAACCAGTACCTGGTCCCGTTGCCAGTCCGACGTTTGCCCATGCGAAAAAGGCTTTCAGTCCGCTGTAAAATTAATAAATTTAGAGTAATATATTTAAAAGTGGTCATAAACAAGGAAGCATGTGCCGGCAAAACAATTATAAATTGCTTCGACGTATTTATCTTCTCAAATCTACAGGTATTCAGACTGCAAATAGATTCATACTTGATTTCCCTTGGTTGGATTCATCTCCTTTTGGATGCCGCGGGGCCGGCGTACAGCAACAGTGTCACGCTTGGGTGGTAGTTTCGGGCTGCTGTCACGATCTGATTGTCCGCTACCGTCAGAAACTTCACCATCCCGGCTTCCGCGTGCACCTCGCCCCGAGCGTGTGACCAATGTCGACCGCCCTGCACCACCGCTTCGTCCCGCTCTTTTCCGCACGCGTCGCCCTTTCCGTTCAGCCGGTCTCGGCGGGTTCTCTTTGGCGGTCACCACCGAGGTCGGGGGCGGACCGTGTGAGGACTGCTCCTCGACATCCAACACTCCCTGGATCCACATTTCAGCCTCGTGAGAGACCGCCTCCGCTATCAGTGGGGATTTCCGTAGGGCCAGCTGCATTCTGCCTGCCCTAAAAGGTCCAGAAACGACAGCAATCACTAACCAGTCAGCAAAACAATTGCGGGTACCAGCCGAGCAAGGATGAATAATGGCACACGACTAGCGATAAGAAATGTTAGCCAGTAAATATATTTTGTGTATATTTTTATTACGAAGATTTGGATATACTGTGTAGTTCACAGGATGTTATGTTAATTCGTTTACCTACCGTCTACGGGTGGATGGCAAGTTGATGCCGTGTTTAAGCACCGTCCGAGTGCGAGCGGCCACAGTCGCATAATGCTTAGCAGTATTCTAATTTGTATTTAGCTTAGCAGTCATACAAATTGTCAGATCCTTAATAGTGCTACGAATATACAAACTGCACCCAGTTGTATAATGCTCAGCATTATTCCAGATTCGTAGCATTATTCATTTACAAAACCACACTAGCAGAAAGTCTCATGTAGTATGGATATATTCCACACCCGACGGAATTATTTCCGCGAGGCAATGTTATGATGTGTTTTCTTTAACATTTATCGACCGAAGCGAAGCGAAGGTCCTCTATGTTCAAGAAAACAGGAATTTTGTCGGTCACGTCGGTCATGTCGGCTACGCATTATAATCTTAAATAAAACATGGAAAGGCACACCAAAAAAATTTTAAATAAAAAATAAATTGTTTTTAGATATAAGACATGTGTTTTTAAAACAGTTTAAAAAAACTCAGCAAACACTTTATTTTAAACTTGGTTTCCGGCCTCGCTTCGGTCTTTCAGTGCAAGCAAACAGCGGTGCACTTTCCTAGTTTGTACAAATACGTACCAATTTTTTTGTGGTTGGTTTGCATATTCAGCATTATCAAAATTATCCGAAAACATAGAACTGCATCGGGCTGGCGGGCTGGATACAACTGGAATTTTCTTATCAAAAATTAAGAAAATTAATATTAATATTGAAAAAAATAAAATTGAAAAAAA